GTGGTGATAGTGTACAACGCTGCCATGTTCCTGACCTTAGGGGAGAAGCTCTCAGTTTTTCCCCACTGAGAATGATATTCACTGTGCATTTTTCATAGGTGGCTTTTATGATATTGAGGTATATATTCTCCATCCTTACACTTTGAAGAGTTTTGATCAAGAAAGGATGCTGTACTTTGCCAAATGCTTTTTCAGCATCTATTGAGAGTATCATATGGTTCTTGTCTTTTCTTTTATTAATGTCGTGTATCACATTGATTGATTTGCTGATGTTGAACCAAACTTGCAGCCCTGGAATAACTCCCACTTGGTTGTGATGAATAATCCTTTTAATATACTGTTGGATCCTATGAGTGAGTATTTTGGTGAGAATTTTTGCATCCATGTTCATCAAGGATATTGGTCTGTAATTCTCCTTTTTGATGAGGTCTTTGTCTGGTTTTGTGATCAATGTGATGCTGGCCTCATAAAATGACTTTGGAAGTTTTCCTTCCATTTTTTATTTTCTGGAACAGTTTCAGAAGAATAGGTATTCTTCTTTAAATGTTTGATAGAATTCCCCTGGGAAGCCATCTGGCCCTGGGCTCTTATTTGTTGGAAGATTTTTGATGCCTGCTTCAATTTCCTTACTGGTTTTGGATATTTTCAGGTTTTCTATTTCTTCCTGGTTCAGTTTTGGTAGTTTATATGTCTCTAGGAAAACATCCATTTCTTCCAGATTATCAAATTTGCTGGTGTATAGTTGCTCACAATATGTTCTTATAATTGTATTTCTTTGGTGTTGGTTGTGATCTCTCCTCTTTCATTTATGATTTTATTAATTTGGGTCCTTTCTCTTTTCTTTTTGATAATCTGGCCAGGGGTTTATCAATCTTATTAATTCTTTCAGAGATCTGGCTCCTAGTTTTGTTGATTTATTCTACTGTTCTTTTGGTTTCTATTTCACTGATTTCTGCTCTGATCGTTATTATTTCTCTTCTCTTGCTGGGTTTAGGCTTTCTTTGCTGTTCTTTCTCCAGCTCCTTTAGGTGGAGGGTTAGATTGTGTATTTGAGCCTTTCCTGTTTCTTGAGCAAGGCTTATATTGCTATATACTTCTCTCTTTGCTGCATCCCAAAGATTTGGAACAGTTATGTTTTCATTTGCATTTGTTTCCATGAATTTTTCAAATTCTTCTTTAATTTACTGGTTGACCCATTCATTCTTCAGTAGGATGCTCTTTAGCCTCCATGTATTTGAGTTCTTTCCAACTTTCCTCTTGTGACTGAGTTCAAATTTCAAAGCATTGTGGTCTGAAAATATGCAAGGAATGATCCCAATCTTTTGCTACCAGTTGAAACCTGCTTTGTGACCCAGGATGTGATCTATTCTGGAGAATGTTCTATGTGCACTCCAGAAGAATGTTTATTCTGTAACTTTGGGATGGAATGTTCTGAATATATCTATGAAGTCCATCTGGTCCAGTGTGTCATTTAAAGTCCTATTTCCTTGTTGATCTTTTACTTAGATGATCTGTCCATTTCAGTGAGGGAGGTGTTAAAGTCCCCTACTATTATTATATTCTTGTCAATGTGTTTCTTTGATTTTGTTATTAATTGGTTTATATAATTGGCTGCTCCCATGTGAGGGGCATAAATACTTATAACTGTTACATCTTCTTGTTGGATAGACAATTTAAATATGATTTAGTATCCTTCCTTATCTCTTTTTACAGTCTATGGTTTAAAATTGAATTTGTCTGATATAAGGATTGCCACCCCAGCTTTCTTTTGAGGTTCATTAGTGTAATAAATGGTTTTCCACCCCCTCACTTTAAATCTGGAGGTGTCTTTGGTTCTAAAATGAGTCTCTTGCAGACAGCATATCAACAGGTCTTGCTTTTTTATCCAATCTGATACTTTGTGTCTTTTGATTGTGGCATTTAGCCCATTTACATTTAGGGTAACTATTGAAAGATATGAATTTAGTGCCATTTGCATTGCCTGTAAGATGACTACTACTGTAGATCATCTCTGCTCTTTTCTGGTCTATGTTACTTTTAGGTTCTCTCTTTGCTTAGAGGACACCTTTCAATGTTTCTATAGGGCTGGTTTGGTGATCTCAAATTCTTTTATTTTCTGTTTGTCCTTGAAGCTTTGTTAACACTCCTTCTATTTTCAATGACAGCCTAGCTGGATAGAGCATTCTTGGCTGCATATTTTTCTCATTTATTACCCTGAATATATCATGCCAGTCCTTTCTGGCATGCCAGGTCTCTGTGGATAGGTTTGCTACAACACTGTATCTTTCTTATAGAGCATCCTTTTAAAAAAGCCATTTCTCTGCTCTTAATTTTTCTATGTAAGATCTGTATTTCTAAATGGTATCATACTTCTTTTGATGGAAGATTTTGATGGAAGATGGAAATTTTTTAAGTACACATCTAACGATTATTTCAGCTTTAAGTTTATGAAAAAGATTTCCCTTTTATTATTGAAAGATATTTTTGCTAAATATACAATTCTAGGTCAGCAGTTATTTGTTTGTTATTTGTTTTGTTACTGTCTTGTTCCTCCCATTCTTTAAATATGTGAGTCTATTATCTTTGGGCTTGTGTAATCTCTGACAAAATATCAAGTGTAATTCATGACTTTGTTTCTCTATATGTATATTCTTTTTGTCTATCTTGAGGATTGTCTCTTTATCTTTGCTTTTCATCAGTTTGACCATAATGTGTCTGTGTGTATGTTTTCATGTTTATCCAGTGTGGGGTTCTCTGAGTTTATCAGATCTGTGATGCATTGATTTTCATTCATTTGAGACAATTTTTAGCCACTGTCTCTAAATGTTTTGATGTTCTATTCTCTTTCTCTTCTTGGAGTTTAGTAGTGTCATGTTAAATCATTGCTATTTTCTAATAGTTTTTGAATGCTTTGTTTGAATCCTCCACTCCTTTTTTTTTTTTGTCTTTATGTTGAGGTATTTATGAGAATGATGGTGTTCTTTTTATATGATGACATATTCCAAGTCTGTTAGTCACCTCAGTCTTTGTCCCACATGCCTCTTTGACAAAGGGCCATAATAAGAATGGAAATTGCTTATCAAAACTGAAAACTAGGTCTAAATACCATGAAGAATCTTATTAAAGAATTAATTTTTTAAAGGATCTGATAAAGGAGACACTGATTAAGGTTGTGAATATTAAGGGGATTTCACCAGGCAGGCTTTTTTTTGCTTATAGAGACTAGGACTAGCAGGTTGGTTGGTCCTTCCTTCGGACAATTTAATTGTGGGGTAATCAGCAGATACAAGAAGTAGCACACAAATATCAGTCTCAGTAAAATCTTTGAGATATGTACCTTGAGCTACTGGTATGGTGCTCATAGCTTGTGCTTGATTGAAAGAGCCTATCGAATGAAGTAGACACCCCTCTGAAGTACTTCATAGGGCCAGTCACCTCAGTTAAGGAAGCAAGATCACATGCCTACTTAATTTACAGCTACAGTAACAAACATGGAAGACAAACTTGAAAACACATTGATGAATCTGTTATGACTATCTTCAACTAATATTTGAGAAATTATCACAAAACTGATGGAAAAAAATGAATAATTATAAGACAAAATATAAGAAATGTGAAGAGTAGTCCCAGCCTATTCAATGTAGAAATATGAGAAAAAATGACAGATAAATAGTAAAAAATATGAAGAGGAGAAAATTTCCCACAAATGAACACTTGCATTTTCACCTTGCAAGCAGTTGTCAACTCAAATTCAGGCAAAATAAAAATAAACTGCACCTACACTTAACCTCAACATATTTTAAATATGGAGACAAAAGGGAAAAATACCTACAAGTATTAGGCAGAAGAAACAAGTCAGTTATGAATTACATCCCTTTCACAATATTAACTGCTATGAGACAATCTTTAGATTTTGAGCGAAAAATATGGCTCAAGAATTTTATACTCACTCAACCTATTTTTCACAATGATGGAAACAAAAAAAAATTCTCAGAAATTTAATTTTGTTTTTTAAAAGCCAATTCTTCTAAATCTCTGAAGAAAAGGTATATTTGTGCCCTGAAACAAAGTTTAGTATCCTTAGGTGGATATCATTCTCAATTCATTTTACTAAGCTAGGCTAAATTGAAAAGGAAAAATATGTATATTGTTTTCTTAGTAGATGCAAAAAATTATTTAGTAAAATATTGCTAAAAATAAGAGTCTTAGGAACCTATGACAGGAGAAAACTTGCTTAAAATTCTAAAATTATCAGTCTGAAATAGAAAATGTGATATTGAAGGGTGAAAGTCTAGAATAATTCAAAATCAGGAATAAAGTAAGTAGATTAGTTATTACTAATTTATTTACTAATTTATTTAGTATTGCTTTTTAACAGATGGGATAAGATAAAAATAAAAAAATAAATTGTAAATATTAGAAAGGAGGAGACAGTTATTATTTGCAAATCACATAGAAAGCTAAATCAACTTAAGTGCTAATTAGAACTAGCAAGAGAATTGCTGGGGTTAATGTAGAGCATGAAATCATCCATAGCACCTGACTTGCTAAAATGTAACACAAAAGCCCCTGGGGCAGGGAAGGTTTTGGAGAGGGGCATAGGCCTTTGGAATGCCAAGGTCTGCATGACCACTCCACCGTAGGAATGCAGCTGGGAGTTGCCTTAACTGAAGCTTTCTTAGGCCAAACAGCCATCCTGTGATCTAAGAGATGTATGCATTGTCCCTTAGGTTATATTTAGCAGGACTCGGAGAACATGGAGAACACACAGATTAGCATATCATATCTTTCCCATAATCAGATCCTCCTAGTTCCAGGAAGACCTCTTGTCACACACACATCATGTGCTTGAAAAACAGTGAAAGATTTATGATTATACTGAACAACCAATAAAAGTGGGAGCAAAGAAGAGCAAAGGGTCTTTGTCTCTGAGTGTTGACCCCCCTTGCCATCTTCCTTCTACGGTACAGTTTAAAGTAATCTTTCATCCATTGGTACAGGGATTGCTGGCCATTCCTGACAAGTGGTGACCCCGATGTGATCATCTTGCCACAGACCACTGAATGGACCACCTGAAAATGAAAAGTTTGGGCACAGTAAGTTGGCATCTGCTCATGGCCAAGTCTGGGGAAGTTTCAGGCTTGGGTATTTTTACAGAATTAAAAGGTCTCTGAGAACTCTGGATGTGGGGAAAACCTCTCTCTCCAAAGAGAGATAATATATTAAGGTTTTAAAGCAATTTTAATTTGAAAAAATTATTAAATTTTTAAAAATTTTATTTATTTCTTTGAAACAGAGAGCACAAGAAGGGGGAAGGTCAGAGGGAGAAGCAGACTCTCTGCTGAGCAGGGAGCCCAATGTGGGAAATCAATCCTGGGACTCCAGGATCATAACCGGAGCTGAAGACAGTTGCCCAACAGACTGAGCCACCCAGGCACCCTGAGTATTAACTATTTTTGATTAGTCACACAAGTTAGTAATGTTAACAATGGTGCTGAAATCACACTATAAAGGCTGTTCGACAGGATTAACAGTGAAGAGGATGCATATTTATCAAGTACTTACTATGTACCAGAAGCCGGATATTTAAATGTGTATATGCGCGCACACACACACACACACACACACACACACACACATACTATGAGGTAGATAGTTCTGTTTTCATCTTTTAAAAACTTTATGTTATAAAACAAATCACAGATGTAGAAAATCATACAAATTAAATTTGTAGCTTAGTGATTATTTTGGGAACAAACATCCTGGTAACCACCACCTAGGTCAAGAAATAAAACTTTACCAGTGACCCCAGGAGCTCCTTCCAAGTACCCCATCTCAATCATGGCCTCTCCCCCCAAAAGTAATTCCTAGCCTGACTTTTATATTAATTATTTCCTTGCTTAATCATTTGAATGTGCATCCTATAGTCCCATTTTGCCCATTAAAAAAATTAATATGTGTTTAAGCCTCCGTGTCTTTCTTTTCCTTGTAGTCTGTCTGTTATGCTGTTTGACCCATAGAGTTTCTCAAAGTCTGGATCCTGTCTACTGCATCCTTATAGTCCAATTCAACATGGCCTTTGCCCTCTGCATTTTCTGCGTATTAGCAGCTGAGTCAGCCAGTTTCCATCCTTCTGGCATGATTATAGGTGGTTCCATATTCTTTTGTCAAGAAGTACATACATGGCTAAAGTTTGCTCTTCTTTGATATTAGCTGTTATTGTGTATAATGACTACATGCACTAGTTCATGGTGGGTTGCAAAATGGCAATATTGTGTCGTTTTGTTTTCCTATATCAGTTGTAATAATTTATAAGATGTTTTTCTTAATCTATTATTTGGTCACCCATTGGTACAGTTCATATAGGAGAGGTAGAACAAATACTTGATTCTTCTGTTTTATTTACATAGTTTTTAAGAATATAATTTTTTTCCATACCATCTTCAGAAGGTGATCAGTTAGTGTTTTTGCCAAATATCTTTATGAACTCTTATTGAAATGTATTTGCACATTTCAATTGATTGCAATTATAATCTTTGTTGCAGCTGAAATTTTACCCACATTAGGTTGGTTTCTAAGTCCATTTGATAGCCTCGATGGCTTCCTTGTTATCTGCTAAGACAGGATATTCCAGACCCATCTTTTATATTTCCTGCCACACTTTTAGAATCATCAGTTCTCCAAGAGGTCCCTCTATTTTCTTAAATAGAAAAGCGAATTTCAAGACTATAAACTGAGCATTATTTATGCTCACTGCTACTGTATTGGTCATTGTTTCTAGGTCTTTTTCATGAATAGAATTAGGTATTTTATATAAATACAGACATAGATTTTATTATATATTTATTAATATATAGATTTTATTATTTATTTATTAATATAGATTGCAGAGCATATGTTTATATAAAGTATGTGTATATATACACATACTCTATAATCTATATGAATATTATCTATATCTATATTATATAAATATCTATATGTTTATAGATATTTATCTATAAATTATATTTATAAATATATAAACATAAATAAATGGATATTAATAATAAATAGATATTTATTTTAGATAAATAAATAGATATTCATCTATATATTTATATATTTATATAATATAGATATAGATAATGTTAATATTATCTATTAGATATATAATATATGATATAGATAATATTAATATTATCTATTAATCTATATAATATCACCTATTAATATAGATTACACATTATATTAATAAATATATAATAAAAATATATTTTATTATATATAATTATAATTGTTATATATTGGTATATATGGTATGATATATATATATATATATATATATATATATCCACACACACACACACATACACCTGACATATGACTTTCGTTTCCAAGGACACAGGAGATGAAAAATTGAAAGATTCTATAATAACTGATTTGCCACTTTATATAAGCAACAGTCTCAGAATAACAATGGTAAAACTGCTGCTACCAACTAGAGTACTGAAAATAGATACAAAAATGTTTGTATCCACTGTGCAGCTTCCCCACCACTTTGGGGGACTATAACTAACTTGTTAGAGCATATAGGCATTATAAACTTGTTTCTCTTTTAACTATAATTTAATGTTACTTCTCCAAGTAAATACATACCAAGTGCTTATCACCCACGAGTCCTTATGGCAATGTCTCTCCAGGCGTGTTGTTGGGCTGGAGCTCATTGTCAGTAGACAACTCAGCAAGGGCTCATGGAAAAAACTGAGTTTTTGCAAGGTAATAATGGGTCTTTAAAGAAGGTCAGTTTTGGTGGATATAAATTCTTGGTTCGTACTTTCTTTGAGTATCTTACCTATATTGTACAATTTCCTTCTGGCTTAAAGCATTGCTATTGAAGAGTGTGATGAGAATCTCTTTTTATTTTATTTTATTTTATTTTATTTTTTTGCCTATATGCCCAGAGTGTCTAAAGAATTTCTTCTTTCTCTTTAAAAATCAATAATTTTACAAAAGAGTACCTTGGTTTTGTCATTCTGGGTCGATGATGTATTCCTTGCTTTTGTTGTTGTTGTTGTTTCTTTGTCATATTTTTCCTTAAAGCAATTTTTAAAGACTAACGGAGTTACTATAATTGAGAAACAGCTCCTTAAGGTAAGCGGGGCCTCTGTAACAGAGGACCAACCTCAGGGTTTGTTAGAGGTTATTATTGAGCAGAACCCATGCTTCCCTGACCAAACAACATTAGACTTTGAAGTGTGGGAGGGAATTGGAAAAAACTTGAAACGTTGCCATAAACAAGGTAAAAAGGTGCCACTTGCTTCCTTTACTATGTGGAGTCTAGTTAGGTCCACCCTGGCCCCATTACATACTGAGGGTACCTCAAACGTTTTTAAAGAAAAAGAAGGGGAACCTATGATTCCTTTGGCTCCCCACATTAGCCCTTTAATTTCTCAAGTTAGATCCAACAAAGATGAAAACTCCCTCCCCCTCTCTACTAGGAAATTCTACCACGTTCTCCCCTTCACCCCACACTTAGTTGATCCTTACTGGGGGCTACATCTGGGAAATGATACATACAGGGGATTGTTTCCTAGGGAAGTTGGCTGTAAGGACTACACGTGTTGGAAGGTTGCTTGGATCATGATGGATTTCTGTCTTTACTCTTCTCTGTCAGTGTCCTCTACTAATTACAAAATTGGATAATTTCCCCTTGTAAAATTTTTCTAGTGCTCTCCAGGAGCTAAAAACAGTGGGTTCTTCAAAGCTCAAGGCGAGTAAAATAAGGCATGACCTTCTGTGCCATGACCTCCTAGGCAAGGTAAAATAAAGCATGACCTTCACGGCATGACCTTTAAGCACAGTATCACGATATTAGTCCATGCACAAGCACCCATTGTAGTCTAAAATGTGATGGGGAAGCGGGGGGGGGGGGCAGGACTACCTCCTACAGGGCCTAGATCAATGGCGATGGTCATACTGATTTTGTTCAGGGGACGCCTCCAGTCACTTTGACACCAGGAACCTTTGACATATCCCAAGTGGGACACCACCAGGGAGTCAGGGAGATTTTCTAGGTAATGGACCTCTTTTCTTCAGTTCCCAAGGACTCTTCCTTGGGGTGCCTTTTAACCTACTGGAAACAATTCGGATTGCAAAATTTAGGAAAGCATTGATCTTTAACACTGTGTGGACTCAGTGGCTCTTTCAGTTAGATCTCTTCAGAGCTAATCATAAATGGACCTAGAGTACCCATTGCTTATACCTGGGCCTTTATTGCTCTACACCAGGACCCCAATCTAAGGGACTTACAGAATGGGTTTGCCTGAATGTATTTGCCTAATAAACTCCCTCCTGACATATTGGATGATAATTATCTGAATAGGGTTCCTCTGAGTAAACCCAGGCTGCTGGAGGAAACACAGTCCATCCCAGACAAAGGGAACTCTTGACTCCCTCTCTCTCACTGTTCTTAATAGATGTAGGGGCTTCTCCCTCACTCATTTCCTGGCTTAATGGCTATAATTGGAGCCAACTATGGTTAAGTCTACCTTGGGATGGGGACTTTAAGGAATATTCCCATGCAGCTGCCAAAACTCCCTTTGTTTTGGGGAAAATTCCCTATCTTCTCTGGCTCAACATGGACTATTTCCCCCTGTTGGCAGGAAAACATGGCCTTTGCTCCTCTGTTGGAGCTGACGATCTCTGGACCTGGGAACCCTTTCTCTGCCTTCTTGCAACTTTGCCTCTTCTGTCCCCTCTTCCCCCTTCTTTCTGCACCACCTTGGTTGTGGACTGCATAACTAACTTCTAGACCATCCTCAGGGCCTCAGGCACCATGGCTCCTCCTACCCCTACCATCAAGGAGCAAGAAGAGCACTCCCTGGACCTAATACCACCCACTCTAGATTTCCCCACCAGTGTCTCTGGTAAAAATCTACAATGGGGTGGATCCAGGTGGAATATAATTCAGTATTTGAACTAAATTAAGTTTGTCAGTTTAATTAAGGTAGACATATCTTTAAGGTTACCAGCAGTAAATGTAAAACTTACTCTATGGAGGTTTACTAAAGGTCAAATAAGCTCATTCTTTCTTTGTTGCACTTTGTTACCAAAA